TCCTCAAAGTCCCTATAGAATAGCAGGGGAAAAGAAGATTGACATTATTGAGAAACACTGCTCATTGGGAAATTGCTGCAAGGTTATCCACACCCTAAAAATTCCTAGGCATAAAACAATGGGTCCTGGAGACTGAAGATTACTTTGGGAATTTTAGAATGATGATAGCTCTCATAGTGAAAAAGAACTTCAGAAGACACTTAGTCCACACTGTACCAGACCATCAATGATAGGATTATAGACACAGAATTAGAAGGGACACACACATACACACATCACATACAAATTCCAACTAGGGGTCCAATTAGGGATTTCCTATACTTCCTTTCTTTGCTTACCAAACAAGTATAATAGACATTGAAAAGGGATGATGGTGGGATGGGAGAGAATAAGATCTATTCTCTTCAAGGACTCCCTGCTTCTCAAATTTAATCTTATTTACACAGTGCAAAGGGCTCATAAGCCAAGTCTATCTACCCACAAGTGTTTTTTGATCTTGAATGTGAAAAATATCTGTTTTTTTAAATGTAGCAAAAATACTGGGAATACAAGTACAATATTTTCTCTAAATAACTAAAACTGAGCAGACAACCATGATTTTACAATCAGCAAACTATGAAGACCAAGTTTACACTTACAGAGTTCAGTGTCATAATCAAATTAAACATACAAAAAATCAATCTGACACATTTAATAATATGTATTATTGCTCTTGTGTATCATGGTACAGAGATACATAAATGGTGGGAGAAATATGGAGATTCAAAAGACAAACTTCACAGTTGTCCCAACCTAGTTTTTTGGATTCTGGTACAATTCCCAATGAAGCAAACTCCTAGTGGTATCCTAGTGTGAGCTCCTTTCCTCTCTTTTTTTTCTCTAGGTACAGCTATCTGATCAAGTGGTGAGACTTATCCCTTACCCAAAAATATCTCCTTTATACTCTGTGGAATTCCAACAATTAGATTTGAAACTCCTGGAAGGAGAAGGGAGGTAGAGAGGGAAAAGTTGGGGAACAGGAGCTCTTAGATATTCATATCGACAAGCTGGTTCCCTGATAAATACACAGACATGGGCCCAGAATTAGGTGCTGGTAGAGATGTTTATGCCCTGCACAGTCAGTCACATTGTTTAGTGGGAATTATGCTCATAAAAGAGTTTAGGGAGTATTTTGTGCCCCCCCCATTAATGCTACTTTTGAACTAAAGAAAAATAAATGAAAACTCCTCACTCTGCCCCACATCCCTCCATTCTTTGTTCTAAATAGCTGAGTAAACCATTTTTTTTTTCCAAAATGCCCCCAGTTCAGGCACCTCTGTAGACAACTAGGTTCTTTTTAATTGGCAGTGCAGAATAGGATCATAAGGTCTCCTTACTCATTTTTTTTCTGGGCCTTGTAATTGCCATAAATAACCATCTCTTACTAACATACAAGACAGGGTTGTCAAGTGTTGATCTAATCAGAGGGATAATTTCATCATCAGGCAGGACTCCTTGTGAAACTCTGGTGTTAACAGAAAGCCTTTTCATTGGAAAACAGAAATGTCATATAAATGCCTCCCCCTTAAGAATGAAAGCAATAATGTACTACTTAGATATTAAAGCAGGGATTATTGGCCAATTATTCTTAAGAATTACCAGGCTCTAGGATTCAATGGTATTGTCTGGACTAACAACTTTAAAAAACCAACAACAAACCTATCCTTAAGTGCCACATGTTATTAAAGTTGTAGTATTTAACGATGTGATTATGCTATTGAAAAAAACAAAAACAAAAACAAAAATAAATAAAAAGTGGCAGCTAGGTGGCACAGTGTATAGAGCTCCAGCCTTGGAGTCAGGAGGACCTGAGTTCAAATATGACCTCAGACATTTGACACTTACTAGCTGTGTGACCCTGGATGAGTCACTTAACCCCAATTGCCTCACCAAAAAAGAAAAATATATATACAATGATGATGCATTTAGTTAAACTTGTTTTTCAAACAGAAAAGCCATTGCTTTTTGAGTATACTTTGGAAAATAAATTTACACTTTAACTTACTATGGAATATAGTTAACTTACTGCGGAATATAGGGCTGCTTTCCTTAAAATCAACAACAAATTCATTCGAATGTTTCTCCTACACTGACTCTCACATCTGCTAACAGTGTTGTACCAAATAATAGGCCAACTTTATAATGCAAGTTTGGGGGGACAGAAGGAACAGAAGTAACAACACCTGCCCTGATTCTTGAGGGAGTGTGATCTGATATTCCTAGAATCAGTCTTCATCTAGAAATGAACCTCATTACAATGGATAGATGAGGTTTTTCAAAAGAGCTCTGGTAGTTTCCCCTTTTCCATAGAGTTCCAGTGGGACTAAATGAGGAAATAAACATTGGTCAATAGTGTCACTTCCAAATTTAGTGTATACAGAACTGACATCCTTAGATGGTACAGTAAAGAAGACTTGGGGATTGTTCATGAATGGTCAGAGTGAACAAAAAAACCTTAATGAATGGAATGTGAGCAATCATGTTTCTTACCCCAAAGAGTATGCCCTCTAAGAGGACAGGTTTGTTAAATTAGGCATGTTCCCCACAATAGCCCTTTAGTACTCATTATAAGTTGCTTTAGTAAGAATGGCATTAAGTACCATTTAATTGAGCTGACAAGCTTCAAGCTGCAGCAAAAAAAAAAAAGCTATTAATTGGCCAGGGTAATAGAAAAAAGGCTTAGAGATTGCTTGGTTGTTTCAGTTTCGATATTAAAAAAAAAAAAGAAAGTAACTGAAATCTTGACCAAGTCCTCAAAAGCTCTTGAAGCTGATTAAATTCAAGTATTTTCTTTTATATGAAGTTTAACGATTCTGAAAATTATTACTGAAAGAAAAACAAACCTGAGTAAAGCAAGAAGATGAATCTCAAATTACCCAGTCAGAAATGATGCCATGACCTTGACCCATATTAAGGGCCTAATTAATCCTTGTTGACTGACTGATAGCATCTCTTGGGCAGAAGGTAATGAATTTTGGATACTAAGTGCTTCTAAATACAGCTGTTAACAGGAATGAGACTGAAGAGGGACAAACATCCACATAGTACTTTTGAATGACAGGAACCCAAGCATTTACTTATTAACTTCATGTCAAAGAACCTGCCTATTGCTTTTGCCTTATTCTTAATAGCCACACAGAGAATGTGATTGAATAAACGACCTAAGGCATGTATACAAATAGCTATAATACAAGGTAGAATGTGAGCGTGCAGTGAAAGGTAAGTACTAGGTTCTGTGGAAGTAGGGTAGAGATGGTATTTAATCTGGCAGTGAAAGAATTGGTAAGAATCATGCAGGCGAGAACTATGAGAACTATTAGGGTATTCTAGTCACAGGAAAAGGCTTAAGCAAAGGAATGGAGGTAGGGGAAGACTCAGGGACTGATCAGGAATTGAAATGAAGTACTATTTGGATAGAGTTGAGTGAGTGAAAGGAAGTAGTGTGAGATAAGGCTAGAAAGGTAAATTCAGACCAAATGGTGGAGGGTCTTGAATGCCAACCAAAGAAGTTTTGACTTTATTTGGTAGGCAATGGAGAAACCATTAAAAGTTTCAGTGTAGTAGGGAGGATTTCACATTTCTAATGTGAAATATTGTCAAGAATACTAAAGAATAAGTATTCTTTAGTAAAAATTAATCTGGCAACAGTGAGTAGGATGGACTGGGTTTGAAGGGATGGCAGTGGGACCAGTCAACACTAGGAGAAGGAGTGAAGGATGTGGTGGGAAATACAGATTGTGTGAAAACAAAAGATAATAATAAAAATTTACTTTTAGAAAAAGACTATCACAATAGTTCAAGTGATATGTCCTGAATGGAAATGTGAAACTTGAAACTGGAGTTAAGGACTCAAGTTGGGGCTAGAGGCACTTTCATGGTGGATGGATGGAGATACGTGAAACCATAAAAATGGAAGGACTCATGACAAAAGAGCAGAGACTGAAGAGATGGAGGTACATCAACATTTAAGGAGTGGGAGGAAGAAGAGCCAGTTAAGGAGATAAGAGAATAAGCAGCATCTTTACATATGTAAGGTCAGAGAGGAAGGAAGGGAACCAGGAGAGTCCATTGGTATTGAAGTCAAGAAAGAAGACAAGTAATTAAAATGGGGGCAGATTAAGATCAGGCAATAGGGTCAAATGCAAAACAGGTCAGGGAGGAAGATGGTGAAAAGACCACCAGATTTGGTAGTTAGGATGTCACTAATGTCTTTTGGAGAGCACTGTTTCAGTAAAAGCTGAGTGAGGAAGTAGAAGAAACAAGTATAGACTAATCTTTCAAGAAGTTTTAGTCAATTCCAAAGGATTCATGACAAAATATGCTATTCACCTCCAGAGAGAGAACTAATGAACTCTGAGGGCAGATTGAAGCAGTCTTTTTTTCTTTGCTTTCTTTATCTTTGCTTTCTTTTTTTTTTTTTTGCAACATGGCTAATGAGGAAATGTTTTGCATGACTTTACATGTATAATTGATATCATATTGCTTGCCTTCTCGATGGATGGGGGAGGGAGAGGATTTGGAACTCAAAATCTAAAAAATGAACCTTTAAAAAAATAAATAAATGAATTTTAAAAAGAAGTTTGTCAGTAAGAAGGCAAGAGCTAGGGTAGTAGCTGAAAGAGGTTATCAGAAGTCTAGGGAAAGAATGCTTCAGGACAGCAAAGACTTGAAGATGTTTGTAGGTAAAGGAAAATAGGTCAATGTAGGGCAGAGATTGAGAGAGAAGAGAACTGACTGAGCAAGTAGCTGGGGAAAGTGAGAGGGGAATGGACAGAGTAAACTAGGGAGAAAGAATAGGTTGAGAAAGAATCTTGCAGGAGGGGAATGAATTGGAGGACATCCCCTTTGGGTAGCCTATATCTTAGTAAAGTTTTCCAGAGATCACTTGAATAAATAGACATTTTTTTTTCTGGACAATCATCAGTATTTCAGCATTTTCGAGGTGGCAAAAAGATACTCACCAATTCCAGACATTGCCTGTGGCCATAGGCTGCAGCATAATGTACGGTGTTGTAACCTTCTTTATCCCGAATTGATGGGTTTGCATCATTTTGAAGTAGGAATTCCAGGCATCTGTAAATATGATGTGAGGCATCCTTTAGTTTGTTTTTGTTTGTAAAGACATTATCAAAGAATACCCATTTACAATCTCCAGTCACCAAAGCCATAAGGAATGACATACCTACCTCCATTCCCCCCTAAAATATTTTTGATAATTCAAGTGTGTTTCTAAGTATCTCTAAAATTAAAATCCTTATTATTGACTTTCTATGTTTCAGATTGATAAAGAACCTTTCATACATCAATTTTAGGCCTTTCAGAAGCTTATTACTTCAGCTTGCTCCTGTCATCCTAAATTTTAGAGTATATTTTGGTAACAAGAAGTTGCCATGAGGGGAAATCATAGTTCTTTCCATCTCAGTGTAAATAACTTCTCTCTCCTCAGAACCATGGGATAGTAATGTGGAAAAACGTATGCCCCAAATATAAGAAATAAAAGAAGTGGTCCAGTTATTTCAATAGCCAACTCCTCCTTCAAATGGTTTCAGTTTTGTTTTAAATCTTACTTTCCAAGTAGCTACAAATGACAGTTAAAAGGTTGGTAAATAGGCATCATGAAGACAGATAAAAGGAAGACAGGTATTTTAGCCCAGACAATATACTGAAAGCTTAAGAAAGAGAATGAACATTCCCCAAGAACAATGAAGAGTTATTACACTAAACACAACATATGAAGAAATGGGCTTAAATGGCACCGTTAGGGATTAGATTCGATTTTTAAAAATCCTCTAGACAGAGTTGTAAACGTGGGAACAGGTTATGAAAAAAGGAGGTTAAACTGACTTCCCTAAAAAGCATGAACTAGGATGACTGCCCATCTGTCTGAAATGATTCAATCTTGTCTGAATACAGAGTGACTACATGACCATTACAGAATGTGTTCAGTTCTATAATTACATTATTGGTGTTAAAGAAATTATATTGGATTTCTTTTTGCCTTTATGAAGCCACATCATTCTCTTTTTCCTCTAGAATTATTTTCTAAAATACATGTTATTATTTCTTCCTGTAGAGTATGATCAGGCAACATAAAATGATCATAGCTTCTTCGAAAACTCATATTATTATTTGAATAAATTTTGGCACAAGGTAAAATTAAGAAATCAAAAAATACAAATGAAATGTACTAATTTATAGTGAAATGACAGAAGATTAGTGGTAAAATTATTTCTGAAAATCAAATACATGTCATGTATCTTGCAAATAGCTAGGTTCCGATTTATTAGTAATAAATCCCCTAAAGTGAGAATTCTCACTGCATATTTCCATTGAACTGGAACCAATGACCATATTTTACATAATTGTAACTTTGAATAATTCAAATTTGAATATATACTATCACTTCAAGGAATTCATTATTCACACTAATTGGGACCTGGATGCAATAGGTCTATTAACAAGTTAAAATATGTATTGGAACCTTACTATGATGCTATCTCTGGGAACATAAGATACTTTTGGAGCTAAGCTGCCATAGACAGGGTCCAAAATGGGTCCATCTTATGAACCAACATGTAGCCAATAGTTTGATAAGTTTCCCGTGTATAGACCAGGGTTAACCTGGGGACCAGTGGTCTGTGAATGGATTTTAGTGGGGTTTCTGAACTTGGATAGGAAAAAAAACCTACATCTTTATTTTCACTAATTGAAATTTAGTGTTTTCTTCCATTTTGAATAAAAAAAAATACAATAATATTCTACTGAGAAGGAGTCCATAGGTTTCACTTGACTGCCAAAAGGATCTGTGCCCCAAAACATCTAAGAACCCTTGATACAGGCAGTCCTCAATTTACCAATGGATTATGTTTCAAAATGCTCTCAAGTCTTTTAAGGCTTGTGATGCAATTTCCCATTGAAACAAAGTGAGAAAGGGTGGTTATGTTGTGGAGACATCTCAGAAAGGACTGTTTAAATATAATATAGCTGACCTATAATATATTATAAAACCTACTGACATCCTATAGCAGTGCTCCATCTCCATTGTCCTGACTCTAAAGAGATCTGGGGGCCCAGGGAAGGAGAAGGAGGAGAGTAGAATAAGATAGAGAAAAGGCTTTACTGAAAGAATGGGCTAAGTGAGGAGGAAAGAGGAAGAGGTGCCTTTACAGCTTTTAAGGGGAAGGATGTTCATTGTGAAAGGAGAAGTCTATGACAACTTGTTTCTTTGAATGAAGGAGTAAGACAAGGGCCAAGGTACAAAGGAGGGTGAAGAGGCTCTCTAATGACTGGGATCCTGGTGGTGATGATGAGTTAAGCACCCCACTGGAGACAGTAATAGAATTTCCAATTCTAGCTCCTAGAGAGGTTGGCCACAATGGCAGCCCTGTGGGAAATGTGGAAAGAGGTTGGATGAGAAACCCAAGAAGAGGGGCAGACAGCAGTAGCTATGAACAGCTTCATAAAAATACGAGCTATGAGTTGAGTATTCGCAAGAAGTGAGCTGCTTGTACTTCCAGTGTCCAAATCAGACAAAAAGCTCAAAGCCCTGACAAGAACCTCACAGAGCCTCACTGAAACAACTGCCAGTTAGGGTCATTCACAGCATGAATATGGAAAGCTGAGAGTACAGAGAGGTTTTGATATTTCCCCTGAGACATTAGTGTCAGAGTCAGGAATTACACACAGGATGCCTCAGGCAGGTGGGTGGGTTAGTGGCTAGAGAGCAGAATCTGTAAACAACCAGTTATTCAATAAACATTCATTAAGTACTTCCTGTGTGCCAGGCACTGTAGGGATGCAAAAAGAGGCAAAAAGACAGCCTCTGTCCTCAAGAAGTTCACAATCTAATGGAGGAGTTCACCTTACTAGCTGTGTGATCCTGGGCAAGTCACTTAACCTCTGCCTGCTTCAGTTTCCTCATCTGTAAAATGGGTTAATGATAGCATCTTTTCTCCCAGGGTTGTTGTGAGGATCAAATGAGAAAATATTTATAAAGTGCTATATAAATGCTAGCTATTGTTGTTTTGAAGGTTCCTGACTGAGTACAAGTCACACCCACTCTCCCCTTGTAAAATCATTGATGTGTCACATGCATGCAGAAGTTCAGGTCTGAAAACAGAATTATTTAAAGATTCATTAAGAGAATAAGTTGTTTTATACCAAAGTGAGGGCCCCAAATTACCTCCATAGGTCTACAGTTCAGGTAGTGAGTTAGCTGTGCCAGCATAAATTAGGATAGGTCAGTCTCAGAACTCAGACTTCTTATACACCACCCACCCCAATAAAAGGAAGATCAGAGTCAGATTTAGGCAGCAACATTGAGAACACACTTACGAGGCAGCTTCCTTTTCCTTTAGCTCACTGGCTCTTTCAAGTTCTTCTGTGTTTTCATGAGTGTTCCCCAAAATGTTCTTTCTTCTTAGCACAAGAGATAGAAAAATACAACTCATTTTCAAAGTAGCAAAGCAGTTTGTGGTCTGGGGCACGGTTTGCCCTTTTCTCCCCCTCTCCACCCAGATTTCAGGGAAGTAAGCAAAGAAAGCATCATTGAGCTTTCCTGATCCATGGAAAGGCCTTCTCAATTGAGGACTCCAGCAAGTCCCCTCTCCATAGGATTCTCGCTGGGAACAGTACAACCTTAAAAACATTCAAAAGTCTGTGATTTAGCATGATAACCATTGGCCATGCCCTCCCCAACATAGTCTAGGCTCTTGGGCAACAGGGCTGCCATCTTTGACTTCCTCTCATGATGGCTCTTTTCTGCCCCTTCCTAACTCGTTACCTGTTCAGTGTCTCATTCATCAGGAGATAAGGCCCAAACCAACATTCTTCAGCTAGAACCTGAAAGGCTACTAACAATCTATCATTACCCAGGGTTTCTATACTGCCTTATAATTGTTATGACACTGTAGCCTTGCAGTTTTTCACACAAGATGTTCCATCTCCTGACTCTGGGCATTTTTACTGGCTGTCATCCATGCCTGGAATCCATTCCCTCCTGACCTCCATATCCTGGTTTCCTTAAAATCTCAGCTAAAATCCTACCTTCTGCAAAAAGTCTTTCCTGGTCCCTCCTACTTCCTTCCCTCCCCCATATCCATCCCTCTGTCATAATGTCTTCCCTCTGATATTACCTGTCACTTACATTTATCTTATATGGGCACAGTTTTTTAAAAATGTATTTTATTTTATAATTGATGGAATAGAACAAACACTTCCATAACACAGTATAATTTTTGAAAAGTGATTACACTTGAAACTGCAAATCTATTATATACAACTTGTAAGCTGTCTGCCATGCTAGAATGTGAGCCTCTTGAAGGCGGGAACTATTCCTGCCTTTCTTGAGTTTACAGAACCAGGTACACATTAAGCCCTTGACTGTTGTTTCCCCAAGGGCTGAACAAAGGCTAACATCTGAATGACTTTGTGATTCTGAATGGCAGCAGACAGTGCCATGCTCCAACATGGTAACATTATTCAGACATATTCCCCAGGAGGAGTTGGGGGTGATAGCAACAACCCAGAGCCCACCCCCATCACATAGGGACAAAGGAAAGACCAGAATGCTACAAGATAAATAGTTCTCCAAATAGGGGAATTGAATAGTATTTCCAAAAAAAAGCCACTGGTTCTGAGGATCTTTAAAATTATAGCCCTGGCTATTCACCCCCATTCACCCACAATTTGTTTACTGCATTGAGTTACCTTATGTCTAATTTTCATTTCTAGTCCTGACAATACGTCTATCTCTAGCAATCAATTTTTCTCTCTAGCCTTCCATCCAGCTCCTGAAATGGCGCTCACACCCAAGGTTAACATCAATAACAACTTATTCCTCACAAACAGATAACACTGTTTGAAGGCTGCTAAGATTGCAGACAGATGAGTATTTCTGATGGGTGGCAAGTATAAGAACAAATATAAATTTATTGGCAAATGAGGCATTTAGAAGGGGGTAATGATGAAACCTGAAGTGTATGCCAAAACAGATTGCACCAGATTTTAATGAATGGAAACCCTAAGCTTGGCAGTCCCACTTGGCATTTCAAAGCAAGGAATGGAGAAGACAGGGAAGAAACTGTGTGGTGATATACGATAGTCAAATGGGAAGACAGAGGAATGTAGGGGCGCCAAGGGGAAACCAGGGTCAAAGGCAAAGCAATTCAAGCTACTCTGAATGGGAGAAGAGATTCTTTCCTTCATTAGCAGGGTTCCTTTAAGAAGGCAAGAGAGAGAAAAGAACCTTGACAAATCCTTCCCCCATCCCCAAGAGGGAACACGTATAAGTATTTTTTTTTTACTTTCTGTCCATGTCTGAAGCTGCAGCATAGTGTAAAGGCGTTCGTCCCCAGTCATCTGTCTCGTTAATGTTGGCCCCGGTGTTCACTAATGTCTCAATACAGTGGAAATGACAATTCGCAGCTGCATAGTGCAAAGGCGTCCTGCAAAATAAACAATTTGTTATTTCAGACTCAAGTCTTGAAAAAAGCCACGAAGGCTTACTCACACTGACAGCAGCATTCCCAGAGACAGGCGTCTACTGATAGACAAATGTCATGCTTTCATAGGAGGCAGCTAGGTGGCTCAGTGGATAGAGCACTGGGCCTGGATTCAGGAAGATCTGAATTCAAATCCAGCTTCACATACTCACTAACTATGTGACCCTGGGCAAGTCACTTAACCCCATTTGCCTTAGTCCACCAGAGAAGGAAATGGCAAACCACTCCAGTATCTTTGCCAAGAAAACCTTATGTGGGGTCACAAAGAGTCAGACAGGACTAAAACGAGTTAACAACAACAATGCTTTCACAGAATCCTAAGAAAAGTGGGAAGGGGGTTATCCTATCTTTCTGCCCAGTGAGCAAATGAGCCGTTTGAGAATGTAATGGAGGAAAAAGCACTGAGCTTCACAGTCAGGGGACATGGGCTTTCAACTCCAGCTCTGTGGAAGGCAATCAACAACATCTTTGAATTACTTTAAGGCAGTGTGGCATAATAATGGACAGAGCAGTGGGCTTGGAGTCAGATATCTAAATTCATATCCTACCTCTGACATACACTGTCTGGGTAACCATGGGCAAGTCATCTAACTTCCCCTTATTTTATCTGGAAAAGGAGAACAATCATATCTATAGCATACCTACCTCACAGGTAGGTAGTTATATGCAAGTTTGTTCTGAGACACAACCAAGCTAAGGTGTGTAATGTGCTTTGAAAATCTTAAAGTGTCACAAGAACGTCCACGTTTATTGTCACCTCTAAAATGAAAGGCTGAGAGCAGAGAGTCTTCCTTGGATTCAGGAAGACCTGGGTTCAAGTCCTGCCTTTGAAACACCAGCTGTACAGCCAAGTCTCTGAGTTGCCAAGGGGCAATTCTGTGAGACCATAATCTAAAGACCAATGTTGATCTGCAGTGGTGAAAGGAATTTCCGTTATGGGGATTCCTCATGCTGATGAATTCATAAATCTGGACCAGATAATGAGTGTTTCATTAGATGATCTCAAAGGTCCCTTCTAGCTCTAGAGTCTATAACACTAAGACAAGGACAGAAAATGGCTAAGTAAATCTACGCTACTTGCACTTATCCCCTCTTTTCCTATACTGACTGTCACTACCCCAATTCAGGCCCTTATTACTTTGTGCATGGACTATCACAACTGCCTCTTAACTAGTATTTCCTTCCCTTATTCTCTGTCCCTTCGTTAAAGTGGTAGGCAGGATGGATTGATCTTCCTAAGGTACAATCTCATGTTTTACACACATGTGCATGTGCACAAACACATCCTCTTTCAGCTCAGAAACTTTCAATGACTCTCCAAGACCTGCTGTATAAAAGACAAAGCCCTTAGTCTACTAGTCAAGTTCTTTAACAGTGTGGTTCTAATGCATCCTTCGGGTTTCACCTTCCCCTTCTCTCTTATCTGTACTTTGTTTTGGCCAAGGCAGACCATCCCTAGTTCCTGAACGCACTCAGGCCTTTGTAACTTTAGTCCTGCCGTTTCCTCTACCTAGATTTCCCCTTTCAACCTCCCTCCACCTATTAGAAATCCTACCATTCTTTAAAGTCTAGCTCAAATGTTACTTCTTCTATGAAGCCTTCCCTGATTACTCTAGCCAGCATTTTGTATATACTTAACATACCCAGTCTTTTGTCTGGATTTAACATAAACAGTCCTTCATATTTCTATTACTTGTGTACATATGTTAATTTTCTGAATAGATTAGAAATTCCTGGAGTCTGGGACTATAATCTTTGTACCTCCACTGCACCTAACACATAACCCATTATAATTACTGATTTTAATATTTCTCTATGATAGAACAATTTATTAATTATCTTTTAACACTTTGATGGGCTATTTAGTTGGCCATCATTCTCTAAGCATTGGCTCAAAGACTACAGGAAAGGGGATACTTTCCCCTCAGTATTCCCACTGAATGAATTGGGTTTTGCCTAGAAACTGAGGACTGAAAGGAGCATTTTAATCAGCTTCAAAAGGCACTTGTCTCCAGCATACTTTCAGGCAAAGGAACAAAAAAAAAATTTTAAAAGGCAGTTATAGAAAACTTGATATATTTTATGCAGCCCATAAAATATTTCTAATGATAGGACATTTCACAGCAATACCATTAGAAGAATCTTACAGCTGGAGTTTCTAAGTCTGTCTGTAATTTTTTTGTAAGACTACGAAATTTGAACCAGCACTTCCCATGTTTACCAATATCAGAGCAATGCTGTTGCTCATTAGTTTGCCAAGGAAGAGAATAACCTAACTTCCAGAATAACATAACACAGATCTGATAACATGATTTAAACACACACACACACACACACACACACACACACACACACACACACACACACACACACACACAACAGATACCAATTCCTTTATCTCCCTCCTCTGGAAAAGAGGAATGTAACTTTGACAGAATTAAAAGTCAATCTCTATTGGAAAAAAACACACATTGAATTGTTCAAGGCCAATGAAAAATTTTGAAGTTTCTAAAACCCACAAAAGATTTTCCATAAAGTCAGACAGGAGACAATCCTACTCTAGAGATACGGAAGTAGAAGGCAGAAGAGTGGAGTAAAGACTAAACTGGGCTGTAAAGTAGCAGACCTCTGTTTAATTCCTGGTTATCCTACAGGCTTGGACAAGACCTAATTTCTTCCTTTGCAAAATGTGGCAGATGGAATTTATCATTTTTAGGTTCCCCTTTACACTATGATTAGGGAAACTTAATATCAAGGAGTATAAGAGCTAAGTAGTATACACCAGACAGAAATTCAAGACTACACAGGCATAGCCCCAGCAGGAAGGTTAAAAATATGTTTACATGGGAGGAAGATGGGAAGGACATAAGAGAAATAACTGTTATTTTTATACAGGACTCAAACATGTACATTCAACTTTTAATGTTAATTGCTCCAGCCTCTTTGAAATTCTACTTGAAGGAGGAATTTTCTTTTAGGGATAGCAATCTTCCCAAGTTGTGCCACTGTTTCTCATTTGAAATTCAGTGATATGATTTCCAGATGGAAATTCCAATTCATCCTACTATCTCCTCCCCAGCTCCCTCCTTATTTACACACCTCTGATGTAGCGATCCTTGATTACCTACCTCCCACATTTATCCTTCTTACTGAAATCTGCTCCACTGCTCTGCAAGAGTTTTATACATTCCACATTACTGGAAAGATAGGAAACAAATCATTAAGAAAATGAAGGTGAATTGTGCTCCCTTCTATATTTATAGGGCTGAAGCTAAGTGCTCCACTGTAACTGTTGGCTTAAGTTCTGCTAATGAAAGTGAACAAGTTACAAGAGCTTCATCTCTGACACAGCTACAATTTCTACAATCTTCTTGAAAAAGGGTTCTTTAAATCAACAAAGTCAATAGCCAGATTAAGTAGTTTCAATTGCATGAATATTATTTTAATTTATCCTTAGTGATTATTATGTAGCCAAATCTTTTAATGATGCTTCATTATTTATCCAAAGACATTTTTTAAAAAGCACATCATTTATAAAATGATCATTTAATATCAAAAATGAGATTTAGGCACTTAAACCTACAATAATTTCATGTCACCTTTAAACAATAAGCCAAAGTGGATGACTATTACTTTTTATCACAACTGAATGAGTTTGCCACGATAGCCATTTTCAGCCTAGACAGCCCTTAATGGAAAATAAAACAGCTGCATTTCCCTTTCTTTGTAATCTAGGTAAATAAATGTGTAAGAACCATAGCTGAAAATGATGTAATGAAGCAAAGTCATCTTTCAAAGCTCCTTCGTCATTCACGGGAGCAATAAATCATGTTTAGTAGCCAAATAGAAAGAAGCTCATTGGAGTGTATTTTCCTACAGAAGCCTAAGCAACTAATACTAATGCTAATGGGAATTTCAGTCACAAATCCAGAACTGAACACAAACACTTTGTATATAGGTCTGTTTTTAAAAAGCAGGTCTGTAGGAAGACAAATTATTCATCACTGTTCCATATAGTTATCACAGACTAACCTGAGTCATTATTTTCAAGCCACTAGGTGGCATAGTAGATAAGTGTTCTGAGCTTGGAGTCAAGAGGACTTGAGTTCAAATCCTATGTTCATTATCAGCTTAGTGACCCTGGATATGTCACTTAACCTATCTCAGCCTCATTTTCCTCATGTAAAATGTGGATAATAACAGCACCTACCTCAAAGGGTTGTGTGATGATCAGATGAGATGACATAAAATGTATTGCAAATCATAAAGCACTATGTGAATGCCAACTATTTAAACTCAGGTGTTTTTTTTTAAGTTTGATTTCTCCTTGATGATAACCAGATAAATTCAACTCAACTTAGGATGAGTCTCATTTTCTGTTCGCAGCCTCCTTTCTTAGAGCACAACTTGTTTTAGCTTGTACAAATATTAAATACAAGCACTGTCCAAGGCATTCATGGTGTTGGGTTGGTACAACATGAGCAGCTACTGAGTATAATTCTCATTAACAGCAAATGGATAAAAAGATGATAAAAAAAACGTATAAGGATGTATTTTGGGGCAACATCAGTTACACACTGGCCACAAAATGATTAAAAGAACATCTTACTCAACAAAGGCCGTCAAAGAAAGAAATTTTTAGTAAATGTGTTCTCATATAACATTAGTTTATTGACTGAAACTGTATTCAAACCCCTGGGATGGAAAAGAAAGGTATCATATAAATAACACTCTCAATAGTTCCACCAAAAGAACCATGGGCACATGATCTTATGTTCTTGACTTGCGTCATTTTTTACATTCATTTCATATTAGTGCATCAAAAAAAGCCTTAAAACAGTATGCTGAAGTGGGGGAAATGAATGGCTAGAAATGAAAGGGAAGTTATTCAGTCTTACTTTTCTATCACTATTACCTATTTATTAGAGGAAGACCAAAAAATAGTGGATGCTCTATTGTTTTTTGTGTATGTGGTTACCAGCCTCTTTCCTCAAGGCTAAAGACAAATTCTTTAAAAAAGAAAAAGGTGATTTTTACATATGAATTGAGTCTGTGTTCAAACTCCATGAATTTTTTTCTTTGGAGAGAAAAAAAAGAAAAGAAGTGATCTGAGGCACAAGGCATGTGGCACTCTTTAAAATCACTGGGACTCTCTTTAATCAGAAAAAGTCCCTTGGTTGACAAACAACTAGCCAATTAAGACAGCAGCAATTAATTCATGAACCAACAACTCAGAATGACCAACTACTCACCCTCCTGCGGCAGCAGCATGAAGGCAGGTTCTTCCAAATTTATCTGGTGTGTCTATTTCAAAGCCTGCAGACAGCACGTGCTCATTACTAAACAAGGACACTATGCTATACTTTTGTCCTAGTTAAACCACAAGAAACATTGCAGAGACAGAAAAATCAGTTAGTAGAAAAACCAGAGTGCAAGCAATTGTAGTCAGCAAGAGGTTGTCATGGAAACGAAGAGTAACTGCTCAAGCTTGGCGATTCTATAAGAAGGACCGTGAAGTCAAGAAGAATTTATTTTCACATTCAGCCCTGGATGCACCACAGCGCCATTTTTCAATCACAGGGTAGAAATTTATGAAACTGATTGGAGGTAACTAGGACAGCAGATTGGAAGACAGAGACATGAAGAAAACATGAATCCAAAGTAGGAAGCTTAACATGCTAAAGGGAGATGTTTTCTTAAGTGAATTCCCACCCTTTCTGGTTCATTGGAGGTGTAAAAAGCATGCCTTCATGCAGGGGCTATTTTTACACATGCCCAAATCTGGGAAAGCAAGATCAGCTATATGTAATGGAGTAGATGAAAAATGAGTTTCTGAATTGTCTGAATTAGTTCACAGACAATGTGTGCCTGGTAATCAGGTCGGTCCCTTTTTGCCTTTGGAAGCCCAGGGAAAACTCTGTACATATAGGTTTGGAAATAGGAAATGAATTCTAGTTCCATGAAGAAAAAAAAATAGAATTCCTAGTGGCAATATAATAAACAAGAAGCTTGCCACAAGTTATGTAACATAAGACAATATTCTAAGACTGTATTTCCTAATCTGTAAAGGAATTTTTCAATTTGAAATAGTCCATGAGAAAGAGACTTAAATAAGTTGGCAAAGATTCACCACAAAGATTTGCACTTTCACATATAAATAAGATATTTTGGTCCTTTTTTTGACTAAAATGTTAAAATAACCTAAAATTTTGTTTACTTCTTATGATTTAATCAACTTCCTATATCCCCCAAACCTAAATGATGTAAACCACAATTCTCAGTGATGGATGTGGGGGTAGAGACATTCAAAGGAGCTTCAGCACCAAGGGCTGCCGGGAATGAATCAACATGCAGTTAGGAAAGCTACACACAGCCCAGTGACCAAGCCAGCCTAATGACATGAAACACAGGCAGGTACTGCTTTTGACCATCCACTAAAGCCACATGATTCAAACTATTAATTAAACTTCATCCTGGCTAGTGGATGTACCTACCTGAAGATAACAACTTCCGGCAGCAGTCAGAGTGAGCATTCAGTGCTGCTAAATGTAAGGGAACATGCTGTGGATACCGCATCTGAAAAATGAGAGAACCATATAATAACAATATCAATAATAATAACAATAATAGCCTATATAGTGTTTTAAAATACTTTAGAAATAGCTAATTTTTTTCCTCAGAGCAACTCAGGGAGGTAGGTGCTTTATTACTCCATTACTATCCCCATTTTATAGATGAGGAAACTGAGAGAAATATAAGTCGTGACTTGCCCAGTGTCATATAAGTAGTAAATGTCAGAGGCTAGATTTGAAATTAGATCTTCCTAATTCCAGGTCAAGCACTCTACCCATTGTGCCATCTACTAATATATTTCTCTAAATATTCCTTATCTAGGAATTATTATCTAGGAACATTTGACTTTTCAAAATCTTTTCTGATGAAAACTAAAAACATTCACTTGAAGCTAAGGGAGTCATAGATCCATCAGTAGCTATGTTTTCTGTGTTCATTCTCTATAGTTTTCTTTAAGCTAGCCATTTCCAATATCTTACACCAAAAACTATGTTGGTTTGTTCTTGGGATGGAAAATAACATGTATAATCAAGCATTCAACATATATTTATCAAGAAACTTTTCTGCATCTATCATTGTATCAGGAGCTGAAAAATATGAGAAAACATTTACTTATCCATTCAACTGGGTTCTACAAAGCAAACTTTTGGAAAAGAAAATGAGTACTTGTATTGTGCAGGGGAAATCTTTGTGTCTTTAATATTTTTTTATGTTGTGTATTTCTTTAAAATATTATAATGTGCAAACAGGTAGGTATGAGAATTAATAGAGATAAATCTTTGGAACCAAATGTATTTCAGTAGCCCAAACAGTTCTGAAAAAAAGAACTACAAAAATAACGAAAAGCATTGGAATCTTACTATAATGCTGTCTTGCAGATTCATGCAATGGGATCATGTTATGGAAAGACAGCCATATTTATAACGAGGTGCTTGGGAAACTTCTGTAATTAAGCACATTTGAATGTGTCATCCAGGAAGAATATATCTTATGATCAATTCTACTTGATGGCAATTAGTATCAAAATTAGATATCACAACATCACGTTTTCCCACACTGTGTTGTTGAACAGGATATTTCAGACTTTGCAACTTCATTGCAGCCAGCAGTAACAGCACTATATAAATTTACCTCCTGCCAGAGTTAACTATCTGTCAGTCCCCTCTAGTGTAAATTGGCCAAGCAATGCTCTGCCTCAGAAATAAATTGGCATATGCTCCACAAAACTACTCTGATTGCTTACATAATTTGCATTTCTAACCTTTTTCTATCTCTCAAGTAATTATGTAGTTACATACGTGTGGATGTGAACATATCTACTGTTCATGATATCCAGTACCCTTACAAATCATGCTAAGTATCACACTCCTGTTATATTGGCTTCTTTCTATTTATTAGCATTTTCTTTTCCTCTTTTTTCCCTTCATTTACTGTTCCTAGATGGAGATTTCCAACCTGGTCTCTATAATGGCTGGCATCCATCAAGAAATGCAATTTGCCCATCTTCCTGGCAGTGTCAGGTTGAGGAAACCTCCTTGTAATTGCCTCCCTCATCGTTTAAAAAAAATCTGAGAAGCAATTGCATCAGTGACTGACCTTGATGCCTGCAAAAGGGTTACAAATGGGGGGATGGGGAAGATACATTTTCTGTAAATACCATCAGGATATTTTTCAATCTTCATGAGAATGGAAGCAGCCGTTAAATATTTTTATGTGCCACATGCTTTGAAAGTTCCTTGCTAAATGAAGCCCCAAGCAAATCTGACCCTTTCTTTTGTAGGGAGAATAGCTCTGTGATTGGAATTTGTGACAAAATTAAATGATTAAATATGCTTAGTGATCTGTAAGAAAGGTCTAGACACCATCCACATTTGGTGCTTTAGAAGCAAATTTTCCTTGGGCTAAGGTCCTGGATGAGAGGATTTCTCCATGTTCTTGACTCTGTAATTCCTTAATTATTCAATAATACCTACAACAAAAGCTATTAAAACTCAAATGCAAATACAGCAAAAGTACTTCAAAAGATTCAGCATTTTCCTGTTACAGACATGTTATGTCTCAGTGGAAGGTTTTATAGGCTGCTATGGCTAGAAAAATTACTCCCTTTGTGGCCAACTCTGTAATAATGAAATTGTTTGAATTTAGTTCTGCTGGTCGTCAGATGAGAAACATGGAATCTATCATGGGGTCTGGAGTCCAAACATTTCCTATTTAGGACTGGCCAAAGCTTCTACTGTAGTGGTATAATCTTATTAGCATGGGTCACCTCCACACTATGATGAGATACTCAGGTAAGACTTCAGAGGACAAGTCAATGGGGAATAAGAACACAAAAAGGATACGTAACCTTTCAGTAGGAAAGGTACTACGGATTTGACAGCTTTTATTACTATTCTTTTACTATTACTATTTACTATTTTATCACTATTCTTTTCAACAGACTTCCTACTCAAGCTCCCAGGTAAAGAAAATAGCAATAATTTGCATTTGTAGAGCACACTATGGATATAAAGTACTTTGCATACTTTGCTTCATTTGATCCTCACAATCACTCTATAAGTCAGGCAATGAAAATATTATTATTCCCATTTTACAGAGGAAGAAACTATAGGCCAAATGACTTGCCCAAGGTCCTATAGCTTGGAAATGGCTGAGAGCCTGGCCTCCCCCCTGGCTTGCAATGCCTGTTTCAGTGCTCTTCCCACTATACATACTAACTTATATTTCATCACAAATACATGTTAGCTAATTATTTAACTTTTTTCCCAATTTTTAAACATCAATTCTGACTTAAGAAGGCCTAGGAAAATTCATTTAACAGTGTAATTTCTTTTTCTGTCTAACAAAGGCAGTATTTTCAGCATCTGTACTGAGGTGGCAAAGATTTCAGTTCAGATGTAAATAACATTGTTTACATTCAAATGGAATGCTATTGATGCTCAGGTTCAAGTCCTAAGACTAGCATATATCTTTAAGATTGAAATTAAAGAAAAAATGGATATTTGTTTAACTGAAGTGAACTTCAGACCTTTTCAAACAAAGCTTTAGAAACAGTGCAGTTCAAAAGAAAAAAAACATTTTTATTGCTTTAAATACACCTTACACACGTGAGAAAAAATGGCAAGATTGTCCACAAAAAAGGGATTTCATTAATTCTAATCAAGCACAGATTATTATATTTATCTCATCAGTTATAAAATTAGGAAATAAATCTCCAAATGACACAAAATTTAATAATGAATAATTACAAGAAGCAGAAAATAAATTCCATCTAAATTACTACTTTTACTTGGCTACATGTAAAAATTGGCAGAACCAAAATGGATCCATTTTTTCAGATTCAGCATTCATCTATCTTTCTTACTTACTTAGCTTCAGAGTAAATGAAGTCTAAAAATCAATTCACTCTACAGCCCCTATCAAAGATTGATCAATAAATGGTGGTCATGAAAAGACCATTGGCTTGGGTATCAGGGGACCTGGGCTCAAGTTTATGTGACTCTGAGCAAATCACTTTCCCTCTTCTAACCTCTGTTACCTCATCTAGATATCTAATATCCCTCCCAGCTCTCAAATTCTATAAGAAAGAAAATAGAGAAGTAAGTCTATCATTTTGGTTAGTCATTCTCTTTTGAGTGATGGTTACTCACATAAGTCATTATAAGACATTCTCCTTTGTTTCATCAGAAATATTAGCTAGCTTGCTGTATGAGTGAAGTAGCTCAGAGTAGGTTGCGCTAAGAAACTGATTCCTTAAATCCGGGGAATAACTTTACACCAGTTAATATTTTAAAGCATACAGTTTAAGGGTTTAAACAGAGACTTTAAATGGTTTCATCCTAAAAAGTTATTGCTGGTCCTCTGTTTCCTCATCTGTAAAACGAAGGGGTTGGATCTGATGTCCCTTGAACTCTAAATCTGTTATCTTGTGATATATTATTTTTTCTATCATGGAAAAGAAATAGCTCTTTGTTTTGGAGAGAGGAGGACATAAACTGGTTAATATCTGTTGCAAATACATGGGACTTAGATGAGAAACAAAAATATATAGAGAATAGTTTGGTCTCCTAACTATAATTTTTTTTTTATCCACTGGAGTCTCTCCTAACTTTCAACTTCCCAACCAGAAAGTACCTTTCCCCTGGGATTGATCTCTTCCTCTCCCTCCCCACATTAATTTGTCAGAGTGACTAAACATTCCTATTTTATACTGTCATAAACAAATAAAATAATGCATCACACAAATAAAATAAAGGCCTGACCTTCTAATAAATCTAGCTTTAAAAGCAACCTAATATATATATATTTAGACTCATTAACTTTTTTTTACATTACGTTAGAGAAAGATGTTCACTTTTTTGGTATAAATTTAGTAAATGAAGCAAATTGAGGAGAATATGGTTTCTATTCTTCTGGTTGAGAGTATAGTTTCTCTCCTGTTGAAAGTCAATAATAGCTTTCAACATTTTATGATATCAAGTTCAAACTCCTTTCTGATATTGTAGGTCTTCAAAATAATCTGGTTCTGTTTTACCAATTCAACCTTTCCTCCTCCTACTCTTCAAACACATGCCCACACCCTCAGACTGCTCTACTCACTGACCTCTGCTCTCAATTCAACAAACATTTTAAGTCCCTACTATGCCCAAGGCACTGAACAAAGCACTGAGCTAGACACTGGGAATATACAGGTAGTCCCCAGCCTTAGAGAGTTTAAATTCAGTGTGAGTAAATTCTACTTTGCTCATTATTATTTTTACAACTTTACTCATACTTTTGTACCTTTCTGGTTTTAGCTTAGCACCTCACCCCATCCTAGACACACATTTTTGTTGTTATTCAATCATTTTTCAGTTGTGTCCAACTCTTCATGACCCCATTTGGGGTTTTCTTGGTAAAGATACTGAAGTGGTTTGCCATTTCCTACTCCAGCTCATTTTACAGATGAGGAAAATGAGGTAGAGTTAAGAGACTTGCCCGACACATGCGGTTTTCTTCACATATCCAAATACATCTCATGCTTCAAATCCATTTCCCCTCTGAAGGCTCTTCAATGTAGATTAGCCACCATTCATCTCTTCCCTCAGACTACCAATGATACTTGTTGTCTATATCTCATATTTTGGCAGCATTGTATCATATAATCTTATGTTTGAGGTGTATCTTGTATCCCTCAGAAGACTGCAGCCTGAGACCAGGGATTATGTCATACATCTCTCTCCTATTTCTTTCTACCATGTAGCACAGTGCTAGACCCATCCTAGGCACTCAATGAATGACTTTGGAATTAAAGCGAAAACTTTAGTCACAGTCACCTTTTATAATATAGTCAATACACTCAATTGTTAGTCTGCAGCCAAATTATTAAAATAAAACAGAGTAAAAGGGAATATAAATACCAATATAAATTCTTTTTAGTTATATAACATATTCTTCCTACTCAGTTACACGAATAATTATAGTAACAATAATTATAATAAATGACATTTACATAGTACTATGTAGTTTGCAAAGTACTTTACATACATTATCTCATTTGGGTTCCTTAGCACTCCAGGGAGGTTGGTACTACAGGTATTATTATTTGCATTTTCCAGATGGAGAAATTGAGGCTTTGAGAGATTAAGTGACTTGCCCCTAGGTCACACAGAATATATCAGAGGTAAAATTTGAACTCAGGTCTTCCAGACCCCAAGACCAAGATTCTAAGCACACCATTTTTCTAGAAGGAAATCAGCAAATAATCTGCAAAACAGTATTAGGATGTAGAATTCAAAATAAAGCTCAAGTATCCTTTTGTAGACTTTTAGCAAGTCACTTAACTCAGACTTGGATTATTCATCCATATAAAAAGGGATTTGGATTGAATGATAACTAAGGGCCTTACCAACCCTAAAATCCTGTGACCTTTGATCCTGTGACCTTTTATTACAGTATGCTAAAATATGTTTGCACCTTCAAGTAACTAAAAGATAAAATCATCCCTCAACTACATCTGCCATTAAAAGCCATTTTATTTCAAACTGAATTTGTTTTTAGAGCAATAGCTCTATCTCTAATCTGAATAAATCTCTTGCATGGTGAAATCTATTTGGCAGTATTATTAGTATCTGACAATTATTGAACAGTATTTTTTCTATAACCTACTTAGCTGTGTCAGCTCCGCTGGTTATTAAGGTGTTAATCAAAAGCTCATGACCATATCTTGCAGCCACATGGAGAGGGGTATTGCCATCCTTATCCACACAATCAATTTCGCCTCCTGAAAAAGAGATTTTAATATAGCATAATGCAAGGATTTAGAGTGATTCCAGGGCTGGATGACATGTTATTTAAATTCACAAAATACCCCTTTTTTCCAACCTAGTGTGCACTTTCATTCTTTAAGGTAAGGTATCACATTTTATCAAAAGGCAACAACATATTTTTATGGGTACATCATTAAGTAAAGGTATAATATTAATGATGAAAAGCATAGACATGTATGTATACATTTTTGTGGAAAGAGAGGGAGGGAGAGAGAAAAAGAAAATGAGAGAGAGAGAGAGAGAGAGAGAGAGAGAGAGAGAGAGAGAGAGAGAGAGAGAGAGAATCTGTAAGGACTACATTTTACAATATATGTCTAATCCAAAGAGAGTCTACTAAAAGTTCCTGAGGTAAGTCTCACTTTATCACAACTGTATTTCTGCCCTAAACTAAGAATGTAACCAAATTTAATAAAAATGAAATGTTGAGGCACATTTCATTTCAATATTTACCTCCTGATGCAAAAGACTATAGAAATAGAATTATGTTAAAATATAATGAAATGATCTAAACTATTAAAAAGGAAAACGAAAGTATTTTAACTACCTAGCTTAAGATACAGTCTCCAATGAGGTCCTTTCCAATTCTGAAATTCTATGGGTCTGTAAGAAATCCGCAAAAGCATGCATGGGAAAATTGAAATTGAAATTAATAAAAATTTCATTTTAATTATCTGTCAGTGCTTTTAGTAGCATTCTTAAGTGATATAACAGGTATACAATGACAGTAATGAAAATTGTCCCTGCCATCAAAGAGTTTACAATCTAAGAAAGAGAAAATAGAGAAAGAGAAAGCAAATAAAGAGAGAAGAGAGGAAAAGGTACATTCATATAATAAATATTTATTGTATGAACATTGTGCATAAGAACAGAGAGAATTGCGTGGTGAAAGCTGAGCAAAAGGTTGCAGGATGAGGAAGAGTGAAGTCAAAGAGAAAGGAGAGAACAATCAAGGGAAAAAAGTACCAATTTGCAAGTTTATCATGTTTCTCTAGATGTAAATTGATTTATAATTTTAAATGTTATTGAGTATTGAACCATACCAAAGAAGCACCCAGAATATTTTGATTATTCAAAAAAGGTGGTCCAGACTCTTGATGCTCCAGTTTCTCAACATTTTCCTTAGGAAACAAATGGCCCAGGGCGCCAGTGAATACAACAGATTAGCTGGCAAATCGTGCTTGACAAGTCAGTTAACTTTGGGCAAGACAGGTGAGCAAAAACCCCACAAACGTGTATTTCTGAGACTTCATTCAGGAACCTCAGGGTTCAGAGAATGGTCAACAAAACTCTCCTAAAGCTTAATCCCATTTACTCATCCTTTTATTCAACACAACAGCTGAGCTGGCTGGGTTTCAAGCTATCGTTTTCATCTGTATACTTTGAGAAGTAAAAGGCCCTGTGGTGAATATGAATTTATGATTATAATCAGAGTTCCATGGAAGACATGGAAGAAAGTCAAGTCAAGTCAATATCTAATATCAAAGACTAGACTGGAGAACATCACATTTTAAAGAACAAAAATATTCAAGTAATGACTCCCAGCAGCTGAGTGATATATGTTTATGTCTTACAGGAAGAGGTAACATAAAAGCTTTTTACTCTTCCCTTATGGACTCTTGAGTATCACAGCTGCTTCTCTACTCTTATCAAGACACTCACACACTCAACCACTTCCTCTCCTTTTCAGCAGAGGCCCTCACCTCATTTTTTCACTGAAAAAACTGAGGCAATCTCTAGCAAGCTCCCACTCCTCCATCAACAGCATGCAGTTGTTACCAACACCACCATCACTACCATGACTGCTGCTACTTTACTCCTCCTCCTCCTCTACTGCTGCTGCTGCTGCTACTAGCTAGCTTGCATTTATATAGCACTTTAAAGTTTGCAAAGTGCTTTATAAATATTATCTTATCCTCATAAAGACCCTGGGAAGTAACTGCTATTATTATTCCCACTTTATGGCCGAAGAAACTGAGGCAGGCAGAGGTTAAGTGCCTTGCCCATGATCAAACAACTAGTAGGTGTATGAGATTGCATTTGGATTAAAGTTTTCCCACCTTCAGATCTAGAACTCTATTCACTGTGCAACATAGCTGCCCTTACTATCTGCCAGACATTTTGTTAAGTTTTAGATTATAAAAAGAAATGCAAAAATACAAAAATAGTGTCCAAGAAGAGTTTATGTTCTAATGCGGAAGATAATAGGTATATAAATTGATGTTTACAAAATACACAGGGAGGACAAAAGGTAACTTCAGAAGGGAAAGTTAAAGTGGATGGGAGGGACCGGTAATGGCTTCCTGTAGGAGGTGAAATTTAAGCTGAATCTTGAAGGAAACCAGGCAAGTGATTAGGAGGAGGAAGAGCACATAACAGGAGGCATGGGGCACAGTGAAACACAAAGGTTTGGAGATTAGAAATGGAGAGCCCAGAACAAGAAAGAGCAAATAGCTCTATATTGGTGGGTTATAAAGTGAATTGAAGAGAGTAACATTTGGGAAGACTAGAAATGCAGGTAGGGAGCAGGCTGTGAAGAGTGCTAAATGCCAAAACAAAGTTTATAACTGATCCTAGATGTAATAGGGCACCATTGATGTTTATTAAGTGGGCGTGAGGGTGGGTGTGGGGTGACCTAGTCAGATGTACCCTTTAGAAAAATCACTTTGGGAAGTGTGTGGAGTATTTGTTGGAGTGGGGAGAGACTCGAGGCAGAAAAGTCAATTAGAAGGCTATTTCAATAGTCCAGGTAAAAAGGCGAAGAGGACCTGAACTTGATTGATAGCTGTGTGAGCAGAGAGAAGAGGTGCTAGCCAGCTGTGTGCTGGTAAATATTTGCCAACCAGTTCTCCAGGTGAAAAAACATACATCTTTTATTGCTGCACTGTTATTATCATTTCAGAAATATAACAAGGTTGCATAGGTTTGGCAGCTATTTTGTATTTCTCTTTATTTTACAAGTTGCCATGGCCAAAGAATTCATTGCCTAGTGTCTGTCTACTGGAGATAGGCCTCTTTGTACTCAATGAGGTTGGCACTTGGACGGCAGACACAGTCTGTTGTCAGGAGTGTGACAACAGTGAACTTGGCCTAGCACAGAAGAACCGACCAGCACTTGGGGTCTGCTGAGACAGCCTTCAAGAGCCTATGGTCACCTCTATACCACAATGAAGCATTTGAGGAAGACTTGAGAAGGATGTCTGTTACTGTAATTGTGAAATCTGTTCATTTGCTGCCAGCCAACAAACATGCCATATTTAAGGTATGGAAAGGACTATTGGAAAAACTATTTTAGTTAAAAAATTTTAAACTATTTTAGTTTGTATATTTCCTTTCTGACTCCTATGTATGATGTAAAATTACAAATGGCTGGAACACCACATATCTATATTTTCCCATAAATCTTTATTTTTATATGTTGTAAATATAATTTTTCTGCTCTTCCAAAGACTTAGAAGCAATTATTTTATCTTAGACTGAATTTAGAAGTAGCTGCTTTTGTGTATCCTAAAGGGCAGCTCTAGAAATAGGCCTTCACCTACCAACCATTGGCACCACAGAACCATATCTGGGTAAATGGGGATGGGTTAACCCAATCAATAAAGTCCAGGGATCTTTTTAACTGGTAACAGGACAGTTGTAGGACCACACTTAGCCACAGGATTACCTAGCCTTAAAACAAGACAATGTTAAACTCTTTAAATAATTAGTAAAGAGTTTAATTTTAAAGAGTTTTTTAAAAAAACACAGAAAGTGATAGAGCTCTATTTCGTTGGTTGCCAGATTCTAAGACTTACAAAGGAAGACAGGATCCCTTATCCCAGCCTTATACTCTATACCTCATCCCTCCCTTTCCCCTCACAATGCATGTGCACACATCTCTTTGTCCTCCAGTAAAGTTCCATAAGGCCACACAACGGGGACTTCAGGACTCAATTGTTAATATACTTTCAGATAACTGTAAGGATGTGTAGGAAAATAAAACTGAATATTTCTGAGGGTAGATTACTAAGGAAAAATATGCAAAAAATTTTAATGCTACAATAATTACTAATGTTTTCAAGGCCACTTTGAAACTTGGAAAAATTTAAATTAATTTTCTGCTTATTTCTCCCTCTGAAGCTAAGTGATGAAAAATTAGGGCAAAGATTTTCTTATGATTAAAAGTAAGGAATATGTTTCATACTATGAAATATTTTACTAAATCAAAATTCTGTTTGTTTAAAAAATCCTTGGAACATTCAACTGCAAACCTTTGAAACCTGATTGAAATGCAAATTAATATATTTAATCTTCACTGGAAGAGAAAGTTAAATGCTTAATAATTGGTTGAAGAAAAACAAATACTGGATTTTTTCAATATGCACAGCATGTAAACTACAGTGTCACAGTCCACGTAAGAGCAGGAAAGATAATTTATGTAACATTATCTAATTATTCATCTAAAATTAGAGTTTTATTGAACAAACAAGAGGGGTCATCTTAATTACTTGCCTCACAGGCATTCCACACTAAAAGGTCAAAGAAAGTCAGAATGAGTAATCCCAACATTAGCTCTCCAATCTTCCTTCAAAGCCTAATTTATTTTTAAACCCTCTATGAAAAAAACATTTCATGAACTTTTGTAACCTTTCAGGCATAATTTTAAGAATCCAGAAGTCAAAACTGCTGAATAAAATATAGCCTCAGATTTTCTTAGGTTTCTTTGTCCCAACTTGGTTTCTCCATCATATAAGATAGTATTGGGCTCTGACAAAAGAGCATAGAATAGCATCATATGTAATTAAATATTGAGTCCAATTCTTCCATCGATGACTGGAAAAAATAAAAGGTGCTTTCATCATTTCACTTTCCAATCAATCAATCAACCCACAAGCATTTATTAAATGATTACTACTTTCTAGAGCCAGCTAGGTGGCTCAGTGGATAGAGCACTGAGCTGGAAACCAGGAAGACT